CTCGCGGTGGCCAGCGCTATCTAGTAGAGCAGCTGTTGAACCACCGCGACGTGAACGGACGTCGGACGAGTTACCTCGTCCGGTGGCGCGGCTATCCCCCGTCCTGGGATTCTTGGGAGCCCCGCTCCCAATTGATGGTTGACGTACTGGGTCTGGTCGAGCAGTACGACGCGACACATCCTGTGCCGCAGAAGGACCGCCGGAGAAAGTCTTCCCGGCACGGTCGTAAAGGGATTTCAGGTTGTCAATCCCTTCGTACATCTCAGTAGAGACACGTACGCGCCACCACGGGCTGGTAAGGAGGTAAGCCTCCTTAGGTGCTCGTGCAGAGTTGTTCACACAACATGGGCACGAGTCTCCCCAAGAAAGGCAGGGTAATCCTTTCTCCCTTGACAGACGATGCAGCTTGTAGCGTGCACCTGTCGGGGTTCGCTTTTCAAACTTATCACGAGCTTTGATAAGTTTGTCGTTCCAAGCGTCACGACCTACATCCTCGAGATTATGGATGTAGGCGTTCCACGCCTGAAGTAGTGAGGGACCATCACGTTTGTGATTCCCACTGTACCATCGATGTCTGAAGAAAGCATCGATGAAGAACTCATGTTCAGCGCGATAGTCTTTCGCGCTGGGGTCAAGGTGATGAATCCTCGACGAATCGAACAATCGTGTTCGATAACGATCACTCGTCGTCGCCGACAAGTGATCCATGACAGATTTAGGAGGCATCCATGCCTTCTTTTCTGGAGCGAGACGCAACACATTGCGGTCCCGCTCTTCCTGCGACGTGCCGACAGAAGTACTGGCACCTCGCTGTGAAGTGGTGTCCATTGGAGAAACGACACCACTATTAGCGCCCGAGTCTCGCGACCTCGAGCGCCTTCGCTTCGGCGATGGTTCATCTGACTCATCAGATGAACCAAAGATGCTGCGACGCAAAGCATCGTCCATGCCACGCTTGGCAGGCGGCTTGGATTCAATTGCCGTCGATACGGATCCGTCATCCGTATCAGGAGAGTACGAGACACCGAGCTCGTACTCTGTGAAGACACGAGTGTCTTCATGACCAGCGCCTGCATCACCAGGTGATACAGGCTGAGTCGATTCAGCAACCGATGGGATATCAGTTGCTGTAGTTTCTGCTTCGGCGTCCGCACAGAGACGTGCAGACGCGCTCTCGGCGGCCTTGCTCGCGCATCGCATGGGCTTGTTTACCATGCGATGAGATGTTGGAAAGTGGACGCGGACCAACAAGTGCAAACCCCGTCCCAAATGATTTGGGACGAGTATCCATTTAGTCAATCAGTCACTAAAGTGACTGATGGTTAAGGGGGGTGATGTAACGGGGTGAATCGTTACATAACAATTTATAAGAAATTGTTAATAGAATATAACTATAAGAGTTATATTCTCAGAATATTGTCATAAGGACAATATTCTGTAGCACTTCAAGTAGTCCCTAATTGGTTGATATAGGCCATTATATCAACCAACGAAGACGCGCCACGACAGACGCACGCAATGAGTGGTGAGCAGATAACTGATTTACACATTTGTATTTAGACATAGTTAGATGAAGATAAATAGTGATTTATTGCAGACATTAACTATTATAAATACAGTTCTACTTTTTACTCTAACCAAGTACTCGCTTCTTCTTACCGTCTTCCTCTGCACGTACGAGTGTACGTGAAGTTACGAGGCACCGCCTTATTCTGTTATCAGAATAAGTAGCTTGTACTGTCACCAGTACAAGCTTCAGGGTGCCCCGTTACAGTTCAAGTATATAAGCGTCCTCTGCACGTACTGGTGCACGTGAAGTTTCGTGGCACCCAGACAAAGGGTGCCCTGTTACAGTGTGCATACATTCGGTTCTTCCTCTCAACCACTTTTTATAGGGTTATCTCTCAAATCGGCTAGCAAAAGAGGGAATGAATCCTCGAGCGTTCGACATAGGATAGCGGCTTAAGAAGAGTACCAAGTAGAACAGGTGCAGAGTATATACCAGGATACACGTAGCTAATGGCTATCTCGTTGATATTCTGAATCGCTACGTTTCTTATAAATGTAGAATCAAAACAGTCTGAAGTAAATGCGTTGTTACTGAGATCAGAGCGCGTGTGTATTTTCTCTGATGTGACTGATTTCTGCACAGCTTGAGGTGAGCTGACGGCATGAGCCATTAGCATTTTTAAACAACATTTTTACACGTTAGAATGAGATTGAGGATCACGCTCTAGAGCTCGCCCTTTGCTACAAGTTATCCAGCCCAGATTACTGTCCACATTTTGGCTGAGATAAACGACGGCGTACGAAAAAATTTTTGTGCTGCTACTGTACTGATTACCAAATTCGGGTATGCCGACCGACACGGTTAACCTCTTTTTCCACTTTTTGTATCGCATGACTCTGTGCACTTTAGTGCATCTCTACTTATGAGCCCGCCATGCTGCACATGTGTGTAGGCACATTTCTTTCAGACTCTTGCGTGGTTGCAAGTAGTGGCTACCGAAATAGTGACGTTTTGTTTGCAAATCTGCTACTGAAACAAGACTCTGCATGATAATGAAGCCTTGATGTATGTACGGTACACCCGCGTAACAAAATGAACGCACAGATCGACTGAAAGACAGAGAGACAGACACAAAGTTGTCTGTAAATTGCTCGGCTATCATCTTACGTACACACAAAAGCTTTGATTGTTGAGCGATGATCAAAAATATATTGACAATGAGCATTTCCGGTGCGCAGGTTATCTATCCCACCAAAAATGGCTCAATACCTAGTGAGGTCTGCTCAGTAGCAGAAACTAACAGATGCAAACAAATAACATTTCAAGTCCGAATGATTCCTGCGACACTACTACAAGGGGATGGTGGCGGATCTGTATGCATCTTGTACAGTGGGAATAGAGCTTGCTATAGGGTGGGCCGGAGAGGCGACCAATTGACGGTTGTAATAAGCGTATAGGATTGCGCCACAAACTATTTTCGCTCTCAGACGACAGGAAAAAACGTGACGGATTGTCCCGCGCATTTGCTCATGAAAGTGAACATGTGGCAGCATTGTCAGGAATCTTGAAACTGTTTAAACTGATCTATGAGCGGCAATTTTAGCGTGCATCACGTCATAAAGTTGCCAAATACAGCGTGCATTACGTCAGAAAGTAGCCAACCACAGCGTACATACGCCTTAAGAAAAGCTACCTCGAATACTATGCAATACAAACTACATTTGATGCCAGTGATACTCTTGCTAGTGTTTGCATCCGAGCTCGAAGTGGAAACTAGTATCTGCCGCCATGAACAAAAAGACGCATCATCTCAATTTTGTCGCTTAAATCAACGGACGAGGACATCGTCCATGACGACTTGACCCCGATTTGTTCATTTCAAGAGCAGGATAAGGCTTTGATTTGCCGGGTATACCAACAACGAGCAGATAGGAGGAACGCATGACAAGAATATCACCACTAGATGTACTTTGGCCGAGTTATGTCCTTCTTTATAACAGGAACCACTGTACTCAGGAAAAATTCGACTTCATTGGCAATTTGGTAAAAGCCGCTTCTTCGTTGCACGTGGTAGTCGAACTGGAAATGAAGCACAAAAGTCATCGCACTCACTGGATTGTGATTGGTCGCTCGTTTCAATTTTTCCTCAAATGTTGTATATTGTGACCCGTCAACGCTAAATGTTTACCAGCCTGTTTCGCTTCCATTTAACTGCCACGTCTTTTGCCAATTCATTGCAATATGTGCTCCAACTTCGGTTCATGAAATCCCAACGTAATGTGTGATAAGTTCAACGTGTTGTGTGATAACGGATGGTGTCGCAAAGATTCGTCATAAGGATGCTGCATCTCACCGATCGCTTTCTTCAACGATCCTAATATCACAAATACAAGTGCTAACACCCAGCATGTTTGACTACCCCCGAGCCAATTTATTCGCACAAAGGAGGTTGAGGATCACTTGATAGCGACTGAAGTCTACGCTGTGTTTCCATCCGTCTACGATCGCTGTGGAAACCATAAATAGCTACCAATGACACGTGAAAATGGTGACTTCTGTCGATATCTCGTCCAATATTACAATTAGACATGCGCAGATGCCTCGTAGTATAAAAGTTGCCATTTTCATGTTTTATCGGCGCGAGCTGTAGGTGTTTTAAACACGCCGCGTTCATCAAGCCTCAGTAATTATTTTTGTAAGACGACGCCAGTCATAGCGTATATTTATCGAGCGCAAGCATGTACTTCAGAATGCTCGTAACAGAAGGTAGACCGTGACGTACGTTGTAACGGTCTGCTAGCCGCGTTTTACTATTGCCAAAAGATGACCACGACACCTTTTTTGTCGTGGAAGTCGCAACTAAAGTCGTGGTATACAGCTAGGATGTAATCTACGACGGGGGCTAAGGCAACATTCAATCGTGAAATTAACGGGTGCAGAACACCGCACAACCGCAAGATCGTCGACTGCATATTTGCGCATGCTGGTCATCGTGACCGCTATGAACGTTGCAAAAGGATTGTGGTCTAGCATCACCCGGTGCCACATGCAAATAGTAAGCCAACAATACCGCCAATGAGCGCATGCATTCTTTGCTGTCAAAGACGATGAGAGGGACTACTTACTATGGCAGCACTAACGATCATATTTATTGCGATGCATGTTGACTTTGTTGACATTCGTTCGATGATTTCATGGACTCTGACTAACCAACTCATCGACGTGGACGTCCCAGTTTCCTGCCGAGAGCATTCGCTCTCACTGATCAATCGTTCGATATAGAAACTACGAGGCGTTACGATTCGGACGGCCAACGATCGGGCCACGCAAACTCAGTGCTTACATGAACATGAAAAAGACTGGTTATTTCCAATGAAGCGAGTTGTATTAAGCGCACATACACCTCTTACTAAGCTACAGTGTTTGTTGTCCGTCGCCACTTGGTTGTCGAATGCAGTATACAAGATGCCTATGCTTTCCACTCGATTAGTCAAACGAATTTTACGGCCCAATCCTCTAGTTTGCTGAGTTCTCCCTCGTTTTCAAGGTACTTGTCGAAATACAGATATTTCGCGTACTTCAGCTCATCGACGGAGTAACTCGTAATGAGATCTCTTTTCCAGCGGTACTTGGCAATGGTGGACGATTCCAGACCAAGCAGGTTTTGGTATACTTCTCGAGTAATGCCATGCGCCATCAGCTTTTCGAACTGTGGTTGGTACGTCTTGACCAACTTATTAACCAATAGCACTTTCGTAGAGAGAACATCAGCCTTTAACTCTGTCTCTGTTTTGATCCAGGCATTTTTTTTCGCTTGCCATTCTGCTTCCAGGTCCTTAAACATCCGGATGTCCTTCGACAAATCACTCCTCGCCAACAGGGACAGTGATTTTATTTTTTCGTCACCCGTGGCTGCTAGTTTTGCTTCCCAAGCTGCTTCATTCGTCTCTCGGGCTGCTTCAATCCTCTTTCGGGCCGCTTTATCCTTATCCCAGGCAGCACGAGCGTTTTGCAGCTTTTTCTCATATTCAGCTAATTTCTCCCCAAAATCGTTTCTCCAGGCGGTCTCCGTGACACAAGAGGCCTCTTCTACCTTTCTCCAGGCAACCTTGTAATTTCCCCCCGTAACACCCTCCTTCTCCCGACATCGTCCACCTTCTGCAAAGCCTTCTCCTCCTTTGTCAGGGCAGACTTCGCCTTCTTCCAAAATGCAGACTTCCTCGCCATCCGAGAAATCCAGTCGTACATCTTCTCCGAAGTATCCTTCAAATGCCCCTCCAGCACAGGAACCGAAATTGGCGCTCTTTCTTCACCAGCCGCAGCAGCAGTTATGTCTTCGCTTGGTTCGAGCGCTTGTTTTCCGCGCACCTTGTCCTTCGCAGCCTGCTCGTTGACGGAAATAGTGCCATCAGGCACCGTGCTGGCCTTAAGAGCCAGTAAAGCGTCACTGACAGCACCTGGACTGATTAAGAGCACGAAGAGAAGGAAGCGCTTGATCATCGGAGACGCCAATACTCGCAGTCAATGGGCGGGGAGAAAGAGGGGAATGAGGTCCGAAGTAGTTCTGACGACCACCAAGCAAATTTGAAACCGGTGTGTTTGTGAGAAATTCTTGATGGAAGATGGACTCGTCACCTCGAGCCACGGCTCTGCGCCACATGCGTGCCTGTGGCGGAGAGACATGCCTGGACCAGTTCACGCTGGCTAGACATCAGGCTGCTACCGAAGTCGAACTATATGGCCTCAGACCTTCATGATTGTTTATTAGACGACGAGCCTTCTGCTGTCGTCAGACTCGCAATGTGACGATGATGTGCCAATGAAGAGGAACACTAGCACAGTATGCACTGAGGTACAATCGGGGTACGAGGATGCCATCTGGTCCCGTGGAAGGGAAAGAAACTTGAATAGATCCGTGTCCATGTCGCACGTGGTACATAGGCGGCATGCGTGCATACCACAGGATCTGCAGCTTGGCAGCCTTTTCCGTTTAGTTACGCTTCAGTTGATCGAACGACCACGTTTTTTCTACTCTACCGACAGTCATCCTTTGATGGACCTTGAGACACGATATTCGAGCGTATCTTCCCTGTTGCCGCTGCCCCGATCGTGTAACGGGGTGAATCGTTACATAACAATTTATAAGAAATTGTTAATAGAATATAACTATAAGAGTTATATTCTCAGAATATTGTCATAAGGACAAATATTCTGTAGCACTTCCAAGTAGTTCCTAATTGGTTGATATAGGCCATTATATCAACCAACGAAGACGCGCCACGACAGACGCACGCAATGAGTGGTGAGCAGATAGTTGATGTACACATCTGTATTCAGACATTGTTAGATGAGAATAAATAGTGGTTTATTAACAGACATTAACTATGATAAATACAGCTCTACTTTTTACTTTAACCAAGTACTCGCGTCCTCTTACCGTCTTCCTCTGCATGTACCAGTGTACGTGAAGTTCCGAGGCACCTCCTCATTCTGTCATCAGAATAAGTAGCTTGTACTGTCACCAGTACAAGCTTCAGGGTGCCCCGTTACACCTGGTAGCACTTCGTAGTCCGTCCAAGGACCACGTTCACATCTAACATGAATATGTTAGATGATGATGATGACCAAAACTTTCATGCTACGCGTGGAGGCTACTCCCATTTGAGTGATGTCGAATGGGATGCGGTTGAACGGATGGGTTCAGCCATGGGCATCCATGCTGTTAGCGTCATGCTAGAGGCTCTCAATATAGATGCCCAACATGCTACTATCGCCAAGTTCATTCAAAATGAACTTGACGCTGAACGTGAGAAAGTAGCCTTGCTTCACCAACAAGGCTCTCAACAAGCAGAGTTGTTGAGAGAACAGGGTGTTCAACAGTTTGAACTGTTGAGACAGCAGCAGGCTGCTGCTGGTGGGTCGATGCACTCGCGTCGGCCCGAGACCTTGAAGATTGACATCTCCAAGTATAGGGTATTCGAAGAGGACTCCCTCTTGAGATGGTTCGTCGAATTGGATGACGCCATAAGGGCGCGTCGCATCGACGACGGGGATATGCAAGTTGCATTTGCCCAATCAAATCTTGCAGGACGTGCCAAGACTTGGGCACTGGGGCTCAAGTTGCTCGACCCATATGCGTTTGTGTCGTTAGAAGTCTTCAAGTCGCGGCTCAGACAAACGTTTGAACCGCCTAGAGCTGAATTCAGAGCTCGAACTGAACTCTTGAAGCTCAAAAAGAGTAAGCGTGATGTGCGCGCTTACGCGCAACATATACTACATCTCACGAGTTGTATAAGTTCCAACCTGGTTGATGAACACACGTTGGTTTCGGTGTTCATGCAGGGTCTTGCGGATGGTCCCGTCAAGACTCACCTGTTCCGACTTGAACTAGGTTCACTAGAAAAAGCAAATTCCACTGCGGAACAGGAAGACTTCAGTCTGAGACAGGCTCACGCCAGCTCGACATCATATCGTCAACCGAGATGATATGACAGCGGAGGTCCAGAGCCGATGGAACTCTGTTATGTAGAGAGCGAGAAGGCTCGCTCTACAGACTACAAGAAGTTGCAGAAATGCAACAGATGTCAGAAGAAAGGACACTACGCTTACGAGTGTGGTGCCCCTCGTCCAGTGTCTCGCAACACTGGGCGTAGTGACCGTCCACTCATGAGAAAGGGGCAGGGAAGCGGGTCCGCAGTTGGTGCAAAGACGCAACAACGTGATGGACCGTCAAAAAACAGACAGGATAAGTAGGTGCGGAGCACCCTACTGGTCCAGCAACGTCAAGAGAATTTGTAGGCCTCTTGATGAAGGTTGCTCCCAACACACAGACATTGTGCGTTGCTGCTCTAGGTAATGAGATCTCACTCATTACCTTGAAACTCGAAGTGACGAATAAGTTGTCCCTTCGAGCTCTAGTCGATTGTGGGGCGTCCAACAATTTTGTGCGACGCCAATCGCTAGAAGATGGTCACTTTAAATTCAGTGAATGTGACACACCTCCTACGAGGATGACGGTACGTCTTGCGACAGGCGCATCCGTAACCGTCATGAAGCGTATAGTGAAGATTCACTATACGCTAGAAGATACCCAATATGACGATTACTTTATCGTATTGGATTTGGATGACAAATTTGATGTCATCCTTGGAATACCGTGGCTCAGAAGGTACGAACCACGGGTAAACTGGCAACATCGGACAGTAACGATGCCTGCCGCTTGTTCATCAGATGGCCATCTGATGAACGTTTTGGAAGCGTCCACAAGCGTGTGGATGTACTACGAGTGAGTGCGATGGCCTCACTTGTGGTACGGTCGTTAGTACGACTGCACAAAACCTTAGTGTACCAAACGGTTACACTTCGGAGCAAAGTTCCGGCGGCTGTGAGGAAACACAGGCTGCGCCGAAGGTCCACCACTCGAATAAGTCGGGTGGACTGGGACAAAGATGTATCCCTAGAGGGGAACATCTAGAAGAGAAACCATCAATCGCTCAGGTTAAGCGAAACGATAATCCTAGATCGACTGGAGAGTCTTTCGTAGAGGATCTCGCTGTGGTTGCGCAACCCCAGCTAGAGGAAGTAAAGGGAATAAGTCCCAAGATTACAAATACGGCGGAAATAAGTTCCCCGAAACCCGCGGGAATAAGTCCCCGGGAAGACGAAGGAATAAGTCCTTCGAAGCCTGAGGGAATAAGTCCCCAGGAAATGACAGAGACATTGAATGTCATAGTCAATAACGGATCATGTGTAGGCGCTTATACACTTGATCTGATTGCGCCTCCGAAGTTAACTTCGGAGATCACTCAGTTGCCAACGCTCGAACATAAAAGATTCTTGCGTGATCTGCGTAGTGGCAAAGTCAAGCAGATCTGCATACTCGTCGCTGAAGACGAGTATGTAACCGACATAAGGTCAGCAACAGTGTTTACTGAGAACGAGAGAGTTCTCAGTAGTTCATCTATGGACGAGAGTGTCCTAGATGAAAAGACACGAATTGAGCGATATGAGTCCCAATCATGGGAATCGCTCAAGACAAATCCTCTCTATGAAGATTTGGTTGAATTCAAGGATGTATTCCCTGAAACTGTTCCGTGCGAATTACCGAAGGATAAAGGTATTCGACACGAAGTCGAGCTTAAACCAGGCTCGAAGTACTGTGTCATGAAGCAGTGGCCACTGCCTCGTGAACAAGTACTTGCGATCGACAAGTTCTTTGCCGATCGTTTAGCAGCGGGCCATGTGAGGGAATCAACTTCCCCACATAGCTCTCCGACCTTCTGTGTGCGAAAAGCAACAGGAGGGTGGCGGATAGTGCACGCGTTTAACAAATTGAACGCTGCAACGGTACCGGCTCAGACGCCGATACCGAGGAAGGACGTAATCATTGATGGTATGTCAAAGAGTACCATCTTTTCGTCCATGGATTTGATGGATGGCTTCTATCAAATCCTAATGCGGGAACGGGATATACCCTATACCGCAGTTAGCACGCCTAGCGGCATGCTCTGGGAATGGCTAGTAATGCCACAAGGGCTCAGTAATGCCCCTGCCACGTTCAACAGGTGTGTATCACATCTGTTGAGGCCAGTACGAGAATTCGCGCCGAGTTATTTCGATGACGTCTTCATCCATAGTCGAGCTATGGATGGAAAGTCGGACGTTGAGGTTCACAAGTACCACGTCCGACAAGTTCTTACAATCATGCGAAAGCATCAATTGTATGCAAACCTCAAGAAGTGTATATTTGCAGCAAGCGAAATACCACTTCTTGGGTGCATCGTTGGTAAGAACGGTGTACGTCCTGATCCCGAAAAGATCAAGGCGATCACCGACTGGCCCGTGCCGGTCGATGTCAAAGGTCTTCGAAAATTCCTTGGGCTAGCGGCGTATTTGCATAAGTATTCACGCAATTACGCCGAGATGACTGTACACCTCTCTCGTTTGTTGAAAAAGAACGAGAGGTGGTTATGGAACGCTGAATGTCAACGCTCCTTTGAGGGTATCAAGCAGAGCTTGATACAATCCCCAGTCCTAGCAATAGCCGATCAGGACAGGCCATTTCATGTGGTCTGTGATGCCAGCGATTTCGCAATCGGCTGTGCATTAATGCAGTACGACCTTGAAGGCGTTGAACGCGTCGTCTGCTATCAGTCGCGTCAGCTGCAACCAGCTGAGCGGAACTATCCAGTGCATGACAAGGAACTCCTTGCCATGAAGTATGCACTCGCGAAGTTCAGAGTCTATCTATTAGGAGATAGACCCTTCGTTGTTTACACTGACCATGCGTCCTTACGCACGGCAGTGAACAGCCCGCACCTTTCACAACGAATGGCGCGGTGGTTGTCATTCTTTGCAGAATACAACTTTACGGTCGAGTACAAACCAGGACGACTTAATGTCGTCGCTGATGCACTCTCACGTCGTCCCGACTTTGAAACAGTCGCGAAACCCAACAGTGAGACAGTCACTGTTGCGGTTATGACGTCCTCAGTTCCATC